TATCATCACCCGTAGATGCATGTGTTCCTGACGCAAAGAAATCGTCGTCGTCGCTGGATGTGCTGTCGAACAAGAAGTCACCCTCGTCCCAACGCCCGCGGGCCCTGCTCCATCACCTCCACCTCCCCCTCCCCCTCCCCCGGGCCCTGCGCCATCACCTCTGTCGTCACCGTCGCCTCTGTTATCGCCTCTGTCGTCAGCGTCACCTCTATCATCGCCCGTGGATGCACGTGTTCCCAATGCAAAGAAATCGTCGTCGTCGCTGGATGTGTTGTCGAACAAGAAGTTACCCTCGTCCCAACGCATGCGGGCCCTGCGAATGCCACTATCCGTCCGCTGTCGCCGAGTCCGAGGAGCGAAACCCGCATCGCCACGTGTACGTCCTCTGACACCTGCTCGTCCATGGCCGACATGTCCCCGACCATCGGCCCTGCGTCGCCTCCTGTCCAACTCCGCCACCCGACGCTCGGCTCCCATGCGGGAAATGACGCGGATCCTCTCTCTGGCGAGGCTCAACTCCTCCTCGGTCACCTTCGCCAGCGCACCGGTGCCTCTGATGAGTTGTTGGTCCACGGCTGCCTCGTCCTCCACGGCCTGCCAATAATGCACCCATTTCCCGAAGACGCCGGGCCTCTCTCCAACACCATCGTCGCACAACGAAGGTCGATCGAGAAGCCTGAGGTTCCAGTGGCACCGCACAAGCTTCTCAGCCCGGGGAACCTCCAACCTGTTGCGAGACTCCGAATGAATGAAGCTCCAACGAGACCACGCTCTCTCGCACGGTGAGGCGGTCACCCATATACGAAGGATCCTGCCTGCAAACACGGCCGTGTGAGGAAACTTCGCCTTCTTTGAGGACCAAAAACTGGCAGGGTCATCAAAGATATCCGCAGCTCGCCGCATGGTGAGCTCATCGAAAGGGGGCTCCCTCGTGTGGAGCTTGGCGACCACTCATTGGACCTCCCGGTGCTGCGGCGAATCCTCCGGGTAGTCGAACTGGACAAGGGCCTCGACCAAGGCCTGCTGCACCTCCGCATCGTCACAGAGCGTCACGTCCCCGAACTCTGGATCTAGAAGCATGGCTGCCGTGTGGGCGGGGTTCTTGAACATGGCGCCGCCTGTGGAACACCTCCACAATAGCGTCCTGCGGCTCCCGATTAATGTCACGACATGCGGATAAACAAGATGCAATCATTTCCTCGTAACGTCGCAGAATCTTGCTGATCTGGCGTGTGTCGCTGTCCACCAACTTCAGCATGCC